GGACTGAAGACGAAATTGCCGATAAAATGACTTCCATCGAACGTGGAGTCAATCAAGCTAAAGCCCTAAATGAGGAGATTTCTCTTCGGAAGTCTCTCACAAGTATTTTCACTATCCCAGCCAACTTGAGGGCAGCAATTTGCGCTTGCGGGCTGATGCTATTCCAACAATTTTGCGGTTTTAACACGCTGGTCAGTACCCTATTGGCTACATCAATGCATCGAGAACCTAACAAGACGTTAGATGTACTACTCCAGTACCCTGTTTCAGATCGTGGGCTTCTCCAACCCCATTGCGGTTGGCACCGTTGTAGCCGGAACGAACTGGATCTTCACCGTTCTATCCATCTTCCTTATCGATCGAGTTGGACGTCGCAGACTCCTGCTCTGGACAATGTGGGGAATGCCCGTTTGCCTAGCCATCGCTGCCATTGCATTTCACTGGATTCCTCTGGACCTCAATACTCTGGAGCTCAAGACCCAGGAAGTCGGCTGGCCAGCCATTCTAGTCTTGGTGTCAATGATCATGTTCGTGGCGTTTTACGCCGCTGGCTTGGGCTGTGTCCCTTGGCAGGCCAACGAGTTTCTCCCCATGGAGGTCCGAGCGAGTGGCACAATGATGATCAAGTAAGCTTCTCATGGACATGTGTTAAAACATGCGCTGACGGCTGTATAGTATTTTTAACTGGGGACCAAACATCATCGTCTCTTCAACATTCCTGTCTATGATGAGAGGCATGACACCATCTGGTACCTTTGGGTTCTACGCTGGCCTGTCATTTCTCGGCTGGGTGTTTGTGATTTTCTGCTTCCCTGAGGCTGCGAATATGACCTTGGAGGAGATTCGTGTAGTCTTTGAGCATGGCTTCGGTGTCAGATATGCTGAGGAGTGGAGGAAACAGAGAAAGCTGGACTTGCAGGCAAGAAGGGAGGAGGCCAACGTTTAGAAACTGTTAGCAGGTGATTTATTTTCATGTCATCGCCCTTTAAAGATTCATTTAGCGCAGGAGACTTTCTCTATGAAATTTCGCTATGAAATAATGAAGATGGTGACGCAGACGGCGCCAAGACCCTAAAGGTCTATCTGCGTTTTACTGAAGCTTGAAATCCCTCAGATCATTGGTTTGCGACTCAGTAATGTGTCGGGTGTACTCCACCAATCCGCCCAAGAAATTGAGCATATCTGTTCATTCATGTCAGCGTCTACTATGTCTTTGGAACATTGATGTTGAGGGAGTTGCTTACCTTTGGGCTTTCCGGGGATGTTGGTACCCATGTACTCAGACCGGGTCTGTGGCAAGAGGGTGGCGTCTCCGATGTTGTTAACAAGTTGTCTCCAAGCTTGTTCAGCCTCCTGATTAGGTTCGATATAAGTCTTGCCGTGCTCGCGCAGGAAAACCAACGTATCCCGAATCCAATTGCCCTGGAGCTCTGCGCAAGTAGGCCCATTGCAGAAAGACGTAGGCCCTTGCGGCCCGTAGATGAAGAAGGCGTTTGGAAATTCCGATGTCATCATCCCGAGATGAGTGGTAGTGCCCTTGGCCCACTTCTCCTTCAAAGATTGCCCCTTCGTGCCCTTAATGTCGATGGCGAGAATGCCTCCAGTCACCGAGTCGAAACCAGTTGCGAGGATGAGGACGTCAAACTTGCGGAGCTCTCCATCAGCAGTGAAGACGCCGTCGGGAACGACCTCGGCAATGGGGTTTGCCTTGGTGTCAATCAAAGTGACATTGTCGCGATTGTAGACCTCGTAGTACCGTTGCTCAAGAGTAGCTCGTTTTGTTCCAAAATAGTACGGCGGCTTTGCTGGCGCCAGCAGGTCTTGCATCTCTGGCTTGTGCACCCTCTCCAAAACCTTGCTGCGCCAGAACTCATACGCATGATGGTTTGCTTCCTTGTTTCTGATGACGTCTTGGTAGGTGCCGAGCCAAAACGAAAGTCCACCCTTGGCCCAAATCTTCTCGAAGAATGCCTGCCGTTCTTCCGCCGTGGCATCAGCACAGGTCGCGGGGTTGAACTCGAAGTCGAGGCCTGCGAAGGTCTTCTTGCGAAGATCGTAAAGAGCCTGGTAGGTCTCCTTCTTCTGGTCTTCTTCGGAAAGGGGCGTTTGGCGCATTGGAAGGGCATAAGTAGGACTGCGTTGGAAGACTGTCAGATGTTCAACCTCAGGAGCAATCTCCTGGATGACCTGAAGTCCACTGGAGCCGTTGCCGACGATGCCAACTCGTTTTCCCTTGAAGTCAATGCCTCCCTGAGGCCACTTTGAGGTGTGGCAGCATATGCCGGCGAACGAGTCCAACCCCTTGAAGTCTGGAATGTTCGGCTTCGCCGCAAATCCGGTGCAAAGGATGAAGTATCGAGATCTGAACACAGTCTGGTCCTTGGTAACAATGGTCCACTGCTTCTCGCTTTGGTAGAACTCAGCACTGACGACTCGAGTATTGAATCGCACATCCTTCTTAAGATGGAGCTTGGATTCGACGTGGTTGAAGTAGTTGCGGATCTCATCGCGACCTGGATACTTCTCGGACCAAGTCCACGGTCTCCAGATTTCCTCCTCGGAGAACTCGTACAGAGGAACAGGCGTGTCGACACGAGCTCCGGCATAGCAGTTCCAGTACCAGACACCGCCTAGATCGGCCGCATCATCTAGAACGAGTGTCTTGAAGCCGGCTTTGCGCAGCTGGTCAAGGGCGTAACATCCTGCAAAGCCAGCACCCACGATGATCGCGTCGTACTCGGGAGAAGGGAGAGAACCCATTGTGAGATTTTTAGGTTGGATTGGAAAGAGAAGAAGAATTCTTGATAATCGGTTGTTGTTTATAAATCTGATGGTTTAGGACGAGGAAAAGAAGTTGACCGCTGGAGTCCTTATAGTACCTAGGCTAGTCCCTGATTCCTTCACACGGTCAGGCATCTCTCTCATTAGTTTGACTTGGTACATCATAGGCTTCACAGCGATCCAACGATTAAGCAGCCCCTTCTCCTTCACTCCACGCCATCGTGAATATGAATACGTGTACACGGACGGACTATTCATGTTTCGGGCATGGTTAATGGCGAAAATCAAGGATAAAAGCTTAAAATCCAGCGGAATGCTAGTCTTCCAACCATGAAGAAAACAAAAACATGGCCCATCGTGACGATGTCGGTCTGCAGAATGTTGTCGGTGCTGCTGTTTCGCGGTGCGATTTCCACTCAAATATTGTGGCTCTATCATGGCTGCAAAAGACTCGCGGACGAGGTACTGCTCGGCATTTGGAAATTCGTCCGGATCAGGGGCGATTGCCCAAAATCAGTCCGAGACCCAGTATCAGCCCATACGTAAGGGCCAATCATCGTTCTAAAGATCCACGACTGAGTGGATGCGAGCAGGGTGGCGACCTCTCTGAAGAACCTCACCATGTTCATTTCTATTCCGGTCCAGATGTCTTCAAATCTTCGGCTTTGGTTCAAATGGCGTCAAAGGACATTTTAGTCTATTGGATGTGGTTCGCAGGATGGCAGGATGCTGATATTAATGTTGAAGCGTTCAGCAGTACCCTGATTTACGCTGTCTCAGGGTGTGAAGAAGAGGCCCAATGCCTGTACCCGTGTGACTGGCGCCGGGGATAGCCCCACGACGGGCCGGTGAAAACCCACCTGTCTACGTTTCGCGGAGTTGGACATGGCTGGGCTCTTGACTTCTTTCATGAACCAGCCCGTCATTCTGACTGTAATCACCTCTATCATGGCAGTGAATCTTGGTGACCATGAAGAGCCGGGGAATTCACCAACTAGCACCGCACATGAAGTCGAACTATCGGATCTCAGCTGCAGATCTTGCAAAAGGTGTGGCTCCACCCTGCTATCGTGACTCAGGGAGCGACCATGTGCTGATCAGGCCTAACTGGCCCGCAGAAAGAAAGCCAAATGGTGAGTTGCTGATTCGAAAACGGCACAGGCTTATGTATACTAATGGCAATTTGCAGCGACCGTTCTTTGCCTCGTTGCCTGCTTTGCGAAAAGACCTCTCGCGCATGCATCTATCCGTCTACGCGTCTCAAGCCGGGACCTAAACTAGGTAGGGTAGACCGTTCCAAAGTGCCTTTCTACCAAGAACTGATAAACGTGTGTAAAGGCTCACGGAATCGCAAGCGCCAACGAACTTCCGACGAGGCTGTCCACATCAGTCTGGGTACACCGGCCGTTCCCTGCCAAGGCACACCAACGGAGCAATTCAGCAACCCACCTGCAGCAGTTGAGTCGCAAGGTTTCGACCCTCCTGCCAAAGCTTGGGAGCACCAAAATGGCTTCTTGCTACCCCGATCCACGGGCCAAGACGAGAACACACGCCACGGCTCCTCCCATGTTTCTGACACCAGATTTGTCCGCGCCATCAGCCTCTCTGCCCTAGTCCACCCTTCTCATGAAGCAAATGTGACACCTCTTTCGAGGGGCCCGTCACCGACAAATGGCGGGTTCTTCGTGAGACTTGCGGAGACCCAGAACGTCCTCATGCAAGTCTGCGAATCACTGGGATTATCAGTCGAGTCACTGCAACTGCTGTGCGTCATGTAAATCGTTAACTATTCGTTCAGGTTCCGGCTTGCTGACAATGCTATTAGCACTAATCTGTATTTCGAAAATATGACAGCATTCTCTCTTTTCCATCAACCATCTTTTGGGGACAAGATTCAGGCCATCCCAAACACTCTTCATCTGAGTGCCTTGATGTCGTCCATGTTCTCCATCTCGGCACGCTTCGCTGATGACGAGACTTTACCTCTCGCCGAAGCACAGTGTAGCTCATCTCACGCATATTTCCATGGCCTGGCCAGGAAACTCATTGATCAAGCTATCGACGAGTGTGACGACGACCCACCACCACTCTGTCTTCTTCAAGCATTGATATTGTGCACCTTCTACGAACTCACAAGGGGCGTTCGTGGTCGTGCATGGCGCGTGGTAGGCACATGTGTTAGGGTAGCATATGAACTAAGACTTCATTTGGTTGACAGCATGGCACCGACGACCCCGCCGTCGACCACGGCAGACCTGAATCAGTGGTCAGCTATGGAAGAAAGACGGCGCAGCTGGTGGGCCATCTGGGAAATGGACGTATTCGCCTCAACGGTGCGCCGCTGCCCCACTGCTATCGGTCAGGACCTCAACGAAACGTATCTTCCTATACCCGACGATATGTGGTTCAAGAATACATTTCAGTCAAGCTGCTTACTTGACCCCAACCCGACGGACAGGTCAAGAAAACTGGCTCTGTCGGGTAATAACAGTAGCGCTGCATGGTTTATTACTATCAACTCCATCATGCGGAATGCGCAGGTTTTAGCCCAAGGCAACCTGCATAGTATACTTTCGGACCTTGCGCCGGGAGACGACTTTCACTCTCTCAAACGATACTTTCATGGATCCTTTCGCAGAAGACAGTCCGCTGAAGACACTCGACAACTGTCTATGCTGCTGAAGGCTCTCCAGCAAACCGTTGCTGACTTACCGCAACGGCTTGCTTACAAGGGGAATCAACTCGATTTTGGATCTTCAACACCATCATTCGTAAGCTACAACACCCAAGCCGTTTCTGATAGGAAGTTGGACGCCGCGCAACATTCAATCTTTCTCGCGATTCAGCTGGCACGATTCATGATTTATCATCACTATGCTTTCAGTGAGGTATTGCTTGGTACGATATTCTCAGAATCTGGCAGTTCTTCCCCATCTTTAGGGTGGACTGCTACACCCAGAGACCCAAAGGAGAGGCTTTCTCACTCGGAAGGGCTACGTAACTGTCTCGAGGCATCTGATGACATTTACGCCATTATCTGCCGATCATCAGATACACACGTCAAATGGACCATCCCCTTCTTAGCGAGCACGGTATGGCTTGCGGCTTCTCTACAGATTCTACGCAAGGTCTTCGCTCCGTCAATCTGCGATGAAATGTCTGAGCAGAAGATTGTGTTGCTCCGCAAGACGTACCAGAGTTATACGGATGTATGGGATACCCCGCAAAGTCTACTACAAAACCTGGACTCGTTGGAGCAACGGTTGATGCGAAAGAAATCGGAGATGGCTGCTATGGAAGCGCAACATACGGCAAATTCCACGTCGAGTGAATGGACGCATCAAGCTGCCTGGATGTCATCGCACGAAGATATCTGCAGTTCGTCTGCCGATCAGGGGACAATGGGACTCGGTATGCTGTCGATGTCATCTCAGAATGATACCAGAATGTCTTCTTCGAGTCAAGACGGGAACTTTGACCACCTGGCTTTTGCGAATGATCCGTACGGAAACTTGCAAACACCGAATTTGAACACGTCAGATGGCTTCAACGGATTCTCTGAAGCTGACCAAGAGTTGAGCTTTTTCATATCTTCACTGATTGGATAGAAATCATGTTGGGTACTTGAACCCTCTACCCACTTCTTCAGTCTATGGCACTAAATGAGTGGTGATCTATTGTATCGCCGACACTCTGAAGTCACTATCTGAGCGCGACTTCTCTTTGCAGACTTCTATGTCTTGGCCCCATGGTCGCTTAGTCAACATAATCTTGAGAGAATCTAGAGACCAGGCTTCAACAAACTTTCGAATGCCTCTTCTGCGTGCTTCTCTGCGTCGAACTCAAGGATCCAATCTTCTCTCGGCAGCGCAATACTCTGAGGGTTCTCCTTCACCTTGTTCCAATCTGTCTTGTGCCAAAGATCGCGGGTCGATAGTCCGGTTTGTTGCACTGCTTTCACACGCTCATACCTGTTATCCGTGTCTCAGCTGATGATAAAGATCCTCAAAGTGGGCGCACGACTTACCGCATCTCTTGGTACGTCTTTAGAGCTGTCGAAATCTTGTCTTTGCCAGCGCGTCTCAAGCAAATGGCGATCGTCACACCGTCCTCCATTGCTTGCGTGGCTCCTTGGACACTCGTTGGAAGAAATGGATGTACTGCATCCCCGAGCAGTGCAATTCTGCCGCCGCTACTGACCCAGTTCGGCAAGGCATTCCGATAGACCAGCTTCCAGTCAACCAGTGACGGCGTCTTCTCTACGATTACCTTGCAAAGCGGATCCCAGCCTTCCAGCGCTTTGAAAACGTCCTCCAATTTGCCCGGAAGCGACCACGACTCGTCAATATCGTACTCGTCTTTGTGAGTCAATACCCAAGAGGCGTCTTTGCCACCTTTAATGGTGGAGAACAGAAAATGAGCGTCGGGTCCGATCCAACCGTTGAATGTGTCACCATTCTCGCAGAACTCTCTTGTTCGGGGGTCTGCGAGCAGGGCATCGGCGGAGAACCTAAGAGTTCAGATCAGCGTACTTGATCACTTGTCCCAAAGAGATAATGTCTTACCATGCCCGCCATACCGCGTAGCCACTGCTTACCGGCTTTTCCTTGTGTTTAAGGACAAGCTCCCTCGCTTTAGACCGAACACCGTCGGCTGCAATCACTACATCGGCATCAATCTGGCCTATCAGTCAGCAAAGCAGATTCTCCATCCCAAATGCCACTTATTGATCACGTTGAAGTCATGGATTCATCAAACGAACCTTTCTGCCGTCCTGTAGTTGAATACCAGCGCCGCCTTGGGTTTCAAAGTAATCAACAACCGGCTCTCCCAGATGAATGGGGATCTTCAACTCGTCTCGCGCGTAATTAAAAACCACCTCATGAAGCTCGCCTCTGTGGCCATTCAGAACCGGCGCCTCGGGATCGGGAGGTGGTCTTCGTTGAGTCAGAACTACTTCTCCAGTATCCCACTTGTGGATTCTAAAGCCGTAGTTTTCGAGGTTTATGCTCAAAGGACGCAGTCTTGAAACGACATCGCCATTGGACCACCGATGAAAGATCCGACCGGCATTTGGTCCAAAGGAGATGATGTCTCCGAGTTGCTTCAGTTCCGGGAACGATTCGTAAATCACGACATCGTGACCTTGCCGGTGACACTCGATTGCTGCGGTCAAGCCACCGAAGCCAGCGCCGACGACAATTACTTTGATGCCGCTGCTGGGCCTTGGTGGGGTAGACATGCTGAACGACTTTTGAATCCGAGTGTGTTAGTGGGCTAAGCAAAGATGGGAACTTGATGCTCACAAGTCCCAGGATTTCGAATACCTCTAGTCTTCAAGTATTACCGACATTCAAAGCAACCTCGGGTGATAGAAGGAAATTTGTCACAAACTTTGCCAACCGGAAAAGAAGAAAAGCATTTGCCGCGAAACACGATTTATCCCCAAACATCTGCCGTGGGGTCCCTTCTCGAGACGTTGCACCCCGCGTTTAACAATTTACCCCACATGAGCCAGCCCTTTGCTCTGATAATGTCTTCCGGCCATTATTCGAACGGCTACCCGCGTCGTGGAGGCGCTCGCCTGCATCAATGGCAAGCTTGTTGGCGCTTGCCAGCCAGTCACTCTGCCGTGCCACGTCTTGGGTGCGATGCAACATCATCACCTGTTCCCATGCTAGCTGCACTGATCCCTGCCTGTCTTTGTCGGTTCTCCGCGTGGGTCTGAAGCCACCATGCTACCCTCCGCACTTTTTGAAAGCTCTGAATAAGCACACGGGTCGAGGCAGCGGAAGGTAAAATGACAGAAAGGCCCGAAATACGACGCCAGGGCTCGTGATGGCGGCAGTCTGCCGTGTTGGGGTTTTCTTAAGTAGTTCGACACCCCATGGAAACGACGTCTCCCCACATTCGGCTTCCCAAGTTCTTCTTCCTTCTCCGTCTGAACTTTCGCTCTCCACATTGTAACTCGTGCTGAAATGAGAGAACGCCGTCCTGATGGCATTCGTGCCAACTGGAGGTGTTTCGTTGCGTGCGGAATGGTAGTGCTGTCTCCATTCCAATATGGAGTTGATTTTGGAATCATTGGTGGCTTGCAGGCCATGCCTGGGTTTCTTCAGGTTTGTGCTCCCACGAATACTCTTCTCAGCGCCGGGTCAGTGACTAAACTTAAGGCGAAATTATAGGTTTATGGCTACGAAGACCCCAAAACATCCATCGGGTGGAATATTTCCACCACCCGCCAGCAGTTGATATCGTCTCTCATGACCCTCGGCGCTTTCATTAGCTCCATGCTCGCAGGAGCAATCGCCTCGAAATTGAGTCGAAAGATGTGTTTATGGCTCTCCTGTGTACTCTGCGTAGTGGCCAACGTCATTATGATGACAACAACGCACATTGGAGCGCTCTACGTTGGTCGCCTGCTCATCGGCTTGGGCAATGGTGGCTTCATGACGTTTTCGCAGCTTTACATCCAAGAGACCAGCCCGGCAAAGTATCGTGGACTATTCATGACCGGCTTTCAGTTTTGTGTTACCATTGTGAGGATCCTTCTTTGATTCATACCAACAGAGACTGATTTACTTTCTAGGGAACTCTCCTCGGTACGATCATAGATTGGGCAACCGCCCAACGCCCCGACAAGTCGGCATATCTGATACCCTTAGGAGTGGTATATGCTGTTCCTGTTGTCATCGCTGCAAGCCTCTTCTTCATCCCCGAGTCGCCCCGATGGCTTATCATGAGAGATCGGATTGAAGAAGGGAGGAAGGCTCTGGTGTGGCTAAGACCTACCGGTGTTGATGTTGAGGACGAGGTCAACGAGATACGAGGTGCAGTGCTTGAGGATTTTGAGACGAAGAAGTCGGTAACATTCTGGGACATGTTCAAAGATCCAATCGACAGGAGAAGGACGATCATTTCCATCTGCGCAGTATGCTTACAAGGTGCTTCAGGTTCAATGTTCATCATTGGTAAGTGCCAGCTTAGTCAAAGCATCTCGTAAAAAGAGACTAACACACCCAAGCGTACAAGGCATATTTCTTCACCATCGCCAGAGTCGAGCACCCTTTCGCCATGACCAACGTTTTGTCAACATGTGGTCTTCTAGCAATCATTGCAAACGCACTGGTCGTGGTGCGCTACGGTCGTCGTCGGGTCTTCCTCCTGAGTGGCCTTATTCTATCCGGCTGCTTTCAGCTGATCATGGCAATCACGTTTGACAAGCACCCGAACACAGTCTCGACTGGGAACCTGCTGGTAGCGATATCGTGCTTATTCATGATAGCCTACAACGTAAGCTCCATTATGTTCTTTATGCCCTTCATTACTAATATAAACTGCTCCAGGGGATGATTGCGCCGTACTCCTGGATGGTCGCCGGCGAAGCTCCGTCTCAACGCCTGCGCAGCTACACTTTGGGCGTCGCGTCAGCTGCTGGATATTTCCTCGCCTGGCTGATAACCTTCACTGCACCGTATTTCATCAACCCAAGCGCTCTCAATTGGGGCCCGAGATATGGATATATCTGGTTCCCTTCATGCATCATCTCGGCTGTTTGGACGTATTTCTACATCCCAGAGCTTAAGGGCAGAACACTGGAGGAAATTAACCAGATGGTAAGAGCCCATTCCTGCCAGCCGCATGAAGATTCGTTTTTTTTCTAATCACCACGGTCTTTTAGTTCCATGCACGCTTGTCGGCCAGAAAGTTCCGCCAGTTCCAAAGCGCCACCATATCACGGAAGACCAGCCAGTCCAAGGCGGATTTCGAAGGTATCAAAGTCGAAATGCTCGACAGGGCATGATCTGTATCACATAAGACCGGCAGGGGTATCTGTTGCATAGGGCGCTGCTGCTTTAAGGAGTCAGGGCCGTGACTTGGCTGGTCAACCTTGAAGCGCAAAAGAAATCATAGTGATCGAAAATCTCCAGAAAAGGAAAATAATTTTGAATTGTTGCTTTAGTTAATTTCTTCCATGTTCCGAGTGTCGATGTGTCGCAAGATCCTCCGGAGCATGCCCCATATTGGTGAGTTTGCTAACTCGTGGAAGGTTGAAAAAGGTTCGTTGGAATGCAAGCCGTCATCCCTCTCGCAACCTCGGCCCACATTGATTTCGCACTCAAGTGCTTTCCCCCTCCAACATCCATCCTCAATTGAGCTCGTACGTCTGACCGACGCAACACTTTACTGTCGGTTAGACAAGCAGGAAACCGAGATCTAACTATCGCGTCCCCCACACTTATCATCTTGGCGCTGTGTTACCCCTCCCGCTGCACCTGCAGCGAACCGCATCTAGAGTCGGATTGGAAGCAGGGTTTCGTCATCACGCCATGCTCAGCGGTGATGATCAATACAACAGCCGCCGATAACGCACAACACAACGCGATAATAACCGGCTGGGTCCCAACTCGCTCGAGAAATTTCCCTGGGCTCACGCTGCACGCTCAGGTTCAATTCATTCCAGGTCCGCATCATGAAGGTCCTCACGTTCGCCGGTCTTATCTTCTCGTTAGCGGCTTCATCGGCCCGGGCTGCATCGTACACCGAAGCCCTCCTCGCGCTGCACAAGTCCCTCGTCGAGGTCGACTCAACCTCCAATGCCGAAGCGCCCGGAACGGAGGTCCTGAAGACGTACCTCGAGAACAACTTCACCGTCGAATTGCAGACTGTCACTGCTGGCCGCCAGAACGTCTACGCCTACTCTGGTGGCTCCCGCGAAGCTCGCGTTCTGCTTACCTCACATTACGACACCGTGCCGCCGTACATACCGTACTCTCGCAACGGCGACGAGATCCGGGGCCGCGGGACGTCCGATGCGAAGGGCAGCATCGCCGCTCAGGTCACCGCCGTGGAAGACCTTCTCGCGAGCGGTGAGATCAGCGAAGGAGATGTCTCCCTCCTTTTTGTAGTTGGAGAGGAGGTGGGTGGCGACGGGATGAAGGCCGCCAACAATCTCAACCTCACGTGGGAGGCCGTTGTCTTTGGCGAACCGACGGAGAATAAGCTTGTACGGGCCCACAAGGGTGTCCTCGGGCTCAACGTCACGGCTTCTGGAATTGCTGGACATTCTGGGTATCCCGAGCAAGGTCGCAACGCGATTGATCTTCTCGTGCGCTCTTTGGGGGGAATCATCGGCGCCGAGTTGCCGTCGTCCGAGGAATTTGGCAACACGACTTTGAATGTCGGTGTGATTGAGGGCGGGATCGCCAGTAACGTCATCCCGGAGAATGCGACTGCGAGGGCGTCTATTCGGGTCGCCGTCGATGACATTGATAGCATCAAGGACGTGATCAGCAAGGCAGCGTATGCCGCTACGCCGGAACATGTCAGCCTTTCTTTCAACACAGGCGGGAAGCCTGTCAGCTTGGACTATGATGTTGAAGGTAAGTTGCTACTATGTCAACACATGACTGGATAATTCGCTAACATTTTCAGGCTTCAACACAACCATTGCGAACTATTACACGGACGTTCCGTATCTTGAAGGCGATCATAAGAAATATCTGTATGGTCCCGGCACCATTCTTGTTGCACACTCGAATGATGAGCGAATTAATGTCTCGGATTTGGAAGGTGCTGTCGAAGGATACAAGAAGCTCATTCTTGAGTCTTTGAAGTAGAGAAGTCCAAGATGCGCTGGGTTCAAGCTCTTGGCAACCATCGTGATAATAACACAATTGCATAACTGCATTCTCTTGTGCAACTCGATTATTATGCATGCATTGGGCAGCTTTTTATGTGGACGGATGCGTTGACGGTTGTTCTCCGTGTAGAACGTTGAACCGTTGCCTTGGCCGTTGTCCCTGCTTGGCATCCGTTTCACCACGGCTGACGTCACCACACGTGATCCGACACGTACCACCCCACCACCCCGCACCTCAGCTCGGTCGGTGCAGCTCAGTCAGCTCAGCTCACCCCGGCTGCCTCACAGCTCTGCCTCACCAGCGCGAAGTACAAGTTGGGCATAGCACGCCAGCCCCTTTCGCTGCGACATCACCCGCCAGACCACCACCGACCGTCCTTACCACATTCCCTTTTCTTCCGACTGCAGCCATGTCTCCCATCCCTGACGTCGTCTTCGAGAAGATCGACAAGTACGTCGACTCGCTCGCGCCTCAGATCCAACCCCGCATCACCTCCGAGCTCGAGATTTTCCAGAACAAGACCATCGACAGCCTCGAGGACCAGGTCATTGACGCCTTCCGCTCGCTCTTCAACAAGGACAAGGATCCCAGCGGCGCCCGGAGCTTGAATGACTCGCCTCCGGACTCCTACGGTGGCCAGTCCCTGCCCTTTGCCGACGAGATCGCGAAGCTCACCCAGAGCTTCAGCAAGATCACCGATGGCGCCGGAGATGACTTGAGGGAGATTTTCGACTTGACCGAAGGCCGTGGGGGAGGAGGTGGTGAGACCCAGTCTCGTGGCATCGACCACACCGATTCGTTCTCTCGCGGTGCAAAGGGCTTCCTCTCAGCTGCCATCAACGCGGTGCAGGACCACATCGGAGATGACAGGCAGGGCGGAGGCAACAAGTTCGAGCTCGACGGACTTCTTGGAGTGCTAAGCAACACGGTCAAGGATGCTGCGCGCAACCCCGAGGAGAAGGCTCGCCTCATCAGCCCCGAGATCAAGGAGAAGGTCGGCGCAAAGCTGAGGGACCAGCATGCCCCCATCGCCGAGCAGTTCACCCGCATCGCACTGGATCACATCAAGCGCTGGCTTCGCGGCAACACGAGCACGCGAGACCTTGGCGACGGTATGAAGGGTGAAGTTGAGGACCAAGTGAAGGATCTGGTCAAGGGCATCGGTGGTTTGTTCGGTAAGAAGCACTCTTCGGGTGAGGGTGCTTCCCGAGGCCTCGGTGACCGCGATGGTGAGGAAGGCGGAAGCGGAAGTGGTTTCTCCAGGGTCATCAGCGACAAGCTGAGCACAGGTCTTGCGAAGGTTCACAGAGAGGTCCGTCTGGAGTTCCGCAACATCCTCGGAGGCATCGAGAAGCAGCTCTTTGAGCTCCTGCCCGACCAGTTCCAGCGGCCATTGGAGAAGATCCTCGGAGGCAACCCATTTGACTCGCAGCTCGATCGCGAGGCCGGAGGCTCGACAGACCGTGGATTCGGAGACGACATCAAGGTGAAGCTGGTCAGCAAGATCCGCGGCCTGATCCGCAAAGTTCAGGAGACACTGCGTGAGAGCATCTTGGGCGTCGTCAACGGAGGTCACCGCAAGTTCGAGCGCGAGAGCTGGGTGTTCGTGCAGAACATGGTCGAGACCAAGGTACAGAAGTATCTTCCTAATGTGAAGATCAACGTGCCGGATGACATCGGAAACGAGGGTGTCAGCGTCGGATCCCCGAACGTGCAGCTTGGTGGCGGCAACCAGCCCGTTCCTCCTGCGCAGGGCAACTACCCTCCTCCGCCCTCGCACCACGATTCGGGTGGCCAGCAGCAGGGATACAACCCCGGCAACTACCAGCACCAGCAACACCAAGAATACCGGCCCGACCAGTATCAACAGCAGCAGCATCAGGAGTACCGCCCTGACCAGTATCAGCAGCACCAGGGATACCAATCGGAGCAGCACCACTCCGGTCAGCAGAACTACGGAGGTCAGAATCAGGGACATGGAGGAAACCAGAGCTACGGGGGAAACCAGGGCTACTATGGCGGCAACCAAGGATACGACCAGAACCAAGGTCATGGCCAGAACCCAGATTACGGACAGAACCCTCGGTACTAGAATGACTAGGGCTATGAAAACGGTGACGGCGACGAGGATTGATACCTGCGGGCGGAATCAAGCATGTTTGACTAGCAAGCTTAACCTCTATGAATAACGATGAACGAGCAACCATGAGCTCCATTGATGTGGATTCCTGAGTTATTTCGTGACGTCTACTTTCTCCAATGCCTCCTCCGTCTTCTTCTCTAGCTGTATCCCAACAAGTACATCAAGCAGCCTCACAAACTTCCCTCTATCGTCATCAACGCTTTTCGCCAACTCCTGCGCCCCATCTCCCTCCTCAATCAAGCCAAACTTAACCGCAACCTCCAACGCCCTCTGATCAGCATACGGAAACACCTCTTCCCAATCGGCCTGCACCCGCCTCAAGAAGATCCCCGCCCCCGTCGGTCCAACCCCCTTAATCCCATCCGTCAAGATCTTCTCAACCTTCTTCTGCGCCTCCTCCACACTCTTCAAATCCTTCACCTGCGCCCTTAGCCCCTCCATCTGCTCCAAACTCCCACCCTCCTCTCCCTCACCACAAATCCCCCTCACACCATCCACAAGATCCCCCAGCTGCGCCGCCGACTTCTCTTTATGCTGCGTCCTCGCCTCCCACATCACCTTCCTTCGCCCCTCGAATCCCGCCTCATCCACGTCCTTCAGCGTGCGCAGCCCAAACGGCTCGTTGAGCAGCGTGTTGATCGTGCGCAGGCCCAGGCGGTGCGAGATGGGCTTGCTGAGCAACAGCGCCGCAACGAGGTTCTGGAAGGGCGTGAGGCTGGAGTCCGGGTAGGTGAGCTTCGGCAGCTCTTCATCGTCATCCTTGGGCTTCTTTTTGCCGGCGTCTTCGGGGGGAGGCGTCTTTTGAGGTTGTGTGGTGGGGTCCCAGTCGACCTCGCCGTGGCCAGGGGGCAGGGAGGGGAAGGCGAGGGAGAAGGCTTCGTCGCTTAGGAGCCATTCTATGGTGTCCTTGGAGTTTGGGGATTTCTTTGGCTTTTTGGTGTCTGGTTCAGAGGCTGAGGTGTCTTTTTTGACGTCGGTTTCGGAGGCTTTGCGCTTGGTGCCGGGTTCAGGGGACGCGGCTTCGGCGTCTGGGGACTCATCCTTTGTGGTCTTTTTCGGGGTCATAGTGAGATGGAACGCGAATATTGTACTTGGAGATGAGAAATATTAGTTGTGAGCATGAACTTGGGTGAGGCAGGAAAACTCATATATGCTTCGTATCTCAGTGATGGAGTTGAGGTGAAAGCCGCATGATGTCATGGATCGAGGCGGTCTGTGTGCATGTCAGAACTGAGCGTGTAACGTCATGGCATACAACGGCGCGCTAGAAGAAAAAGAAAAGACTAGCGTGAGTTCCTGATTTGGAAAGACTCTGCATGGTTCTTGTGGAAAGACCTATGGGTCAGGGCACTTTCCAATGTGTCAAGAAATATACCGGGCATCAATTGCAACGCTAGAGTCATCACGATGCTAAAGCAAGACAATTCAAAAGTACGACGATAAGAAACAGAAATTCGCGCCACGAAGATCCAAGATGACGAAGACCGAGGACGATGAAAATACAACGAGTCAAACGCAAGCATGCGAGAAAATTCTGTTCTTCTTTTCTCGAGTAGCCATAATTTCCTAGTGCTCGTTCCCGCCGGATCAAAACTTCATCCCGTGATAATCATCCCAAGCTGTGCTAGAAAGAACCATCCCAAACGTGCCTGCCTTCCCAACGCGTAAACCCAAGTTTCTTCCGCGGTAATCAGATCTCAGCCTCAGCAGCACCATCACCAGCCTCCTGCTTGACGGGCTCCTCCAGCTGAACAGCCTCATCGTCAACGTCCTCCTCAACCTTGGCCTTAGCCTTAGCCTTGCTGACGCGGGGCTTCTTCTTGGACGGAGTCTCCTGCTCCAGGGCGTCGCCTTCCTCTTCGTCAGAGGGCGCCTTCTTCTTGGGGGTGCGCTTGCCGCGGGGCTTCTTTGCCGGGGTGGTGCCAGGGGTGCCAGCCTCGTCGTCACCAGCAGCACCAGCACTGCCGCCGAACCAGCCGTGCTTGGCGATGGCGTTGGAGACGCGCTTGCGAACGCTGCTGCCCGAGGCGGAGCCAATCTCCTCGGCGATCTTGTCGGCGTCGTAGGTGGGACGGGGGAGTTGCTTGATGATGGCGACCAGGAGCTGGATCTCGCCCTCGGAGTAGCCGTGGGAAGGGGCGGACGCGCCAGCCTCTTCGGTGGAGGTGTTCTTCTTGGGAGGCATTTTGGCTGGCAAATGTGAGTATGTGAGAAAGGCGCCCGGGCGAATGTGGTTGAAAAAGGTATCAGACATGAAAAAGAGACGAACAAGAAGGAATTCTTTCTTACTTACTTGCGGTTGGAAGTGATAAGTTGTTGTGTAGGTGTTGTACAGGTAAAGCGAGATGCAAAGTGTTGTGAATAGATGGTGAGTTGTTGAGGAGAAGAAGAAATTGAGTCAGGAGGCGTCAGTTGGGCGGATATTAGTAGTTGAACGAGAAGGAGGGAAGAGGCAGATAGATCTGGGAAGGAGGTTCTTGAAAGTAAGAGATTCGAGCCTTCTTCATTCGATTCAGACCCCTTGGGGACGACCGTGGAAGCCTGAGGTTGACTTTTGTGCACTGGATGCTGTTGGAAAGAAACGCCAGGCTACCTCTCGCTACTCTTTTCTTCCGATCAATTCGTTTTAAGAGGGATTCTGGCATTTCTGATGCCTTGCCGACTATTCTTGATGGAATTGGGTGCAAAGCAGTCAGTTGACACCTCTCACACCCGGCATCCTGCGTTACTGCCTATTCACATTAGACGTGACTGACGCATAAGTAGACCTTATGAGATTAGATTTTTCACATCAAAGCCGTTGAAAGATGGGAATTTTCAAGACATCTGATCCTTCATCCAATATCATTATCTCATCAAGTTCGTTCAACTAGAAACGAATGTGAGTAATCATTAGGACTCGCCTGACTGAACATTGAAAGGGAGTGTCTAGAGACGTGGGGAATGGTCTATGGAAGATTCACACCATACTTGGAGAAACTCAAGTGAAACGGAACGGCTGACAAAGGGCGTCGAGTAATACAAGGTAAGGTATTGAGAGATTGTTACAGCCAGACCTGCCTGGGACTCTAGGCAACCACCCGTCTTACTCCTCAACGCCAATCTTGACTCTGGGGCTCAAGACAAAGCTGTCGGTGCGACTTATGGATAATGGGTGCTGTGAAAGTCACGTTATGGCATCCTAGATTGTGTTTTCACCAGGTAGTAAGCAATCTGACTATGCATGTGGAATCGCAAGGCAAGATTGATGCTCATTGCGTAATTAGGAACGAGTGTGAAACACACAACTCGAGTCGCAAGGCATCCGTTGTTATCATGCTACAGCTGAGCAAGGCTTCGTCAGATACATTTTTTATCGGAGCAGTTTTTCGAGAAGGAGAGATCCGATTTATGTTCAATATGATGGGAACCATTCCTGTGTTCTTGGCCTCTGCCGCGCCATGAACGCTCTGTTCTGGAAAAGCTAGACCAGCTCAAAAACGTTGATTTTGTACCACAAACGTTTGTTCAGACTTGGACGGCGCAACTTCAAAGCAAGTCAACAAGCTCGACCCATTGAATCAACACAGGACCTTTGAGTCCATACTCTTTCGCCGGATTGGCATTGAAAAAGCTAGCACCCGCCACGGAAGCAGCGACACCAAACGTCATGATGCCGTTCTGCTCCGCTCTTACACGACTGTACAGTGTCGAAGCAACTTCCACCTTGACCATATTGTCGGCGCCTGCAGGGTTCAGATATTTCGTGATATCCACCACTACATCAGGCGAGCTGTTGACGTCGAAGATGACTTTGTCGCCATTCACCTATAGTATCACGGTGTCGGTGATGGCGCCTAGGTGAAGACGAGCGCCCAAGCGCTGGTCCGCAACGGATGAGAAAGGGGTTCGGAAGGTGGTCTCGTAGTCTGCCGTGCCGCTCGTGTCACCTAAGTTTACGGGGTCCATGTCCTTCCAGGGGGCGAGCCGGGTGTCGGGGAACCGGTGCGGTGTGATCGCGGTTTCCATTGAAAAGGAGTCGTTGTCGCTGCGCCAGTCGTTGACTGTGATGTTCCATGCGTCGAGGTCTGTTGCTTCTGGCAGCTGAGAGGCGGTGAAGGTTAGGGCTTGGCCGGTGGCGAGGGTTACTGTTGCGGTGCCGGGTCCGAGGTGCGCTGTGATGCGGGTGTTGTTTGTCGCGGTGGTCGTATTGGCATCTTGGGTGGCAGTGTAGAGGAGGGCTTCGAGGGGGCCGGAGATAGATGTTATGTGAGTGCGAGGTGGGCGAGGCAGGATGGATGTGCCGTTTTCATCGCTTGCATCTGAGGTCTGATTGAAGAAGGCGAGGATGGTGGTCTGGTTCGCAGCGAGCGTCACCGGCACGACGATGTTGTTATCCTCGATGGTGTACTGTAGAAGCGGCGATGCCGTCCCAGTCCAGGCGTCCAGAGTGTAGGGCGTCCTGCCAGCCACATCAAGGAAGCTGATGTTAGCAGTCGTGGTGTTTCCGCCGTCATTGTAAAGAAACGCAATTTGCGCATCTTCTGTGCTCCGCGAGAATGTATACCACTTCTCGACAGCGTTGTCTTGCGGAAACGAAACCCGAGGCCGGATATTGAGGGCAGCGAGAGTAGCAGGTAACTCCTCCGCGGACGCAAGCACAGTAACACCCTCCATGGCAAGAGCATTTGCCATAATCTCTGGAACAGAAGCGGCTCCATCGACACCAACACTCTGGAAGTCCGTGCTTCCAATAACAAAGATCGGCAGCCCTGCTTCCGCGAACGCCTTTGTTTGCGCCGCCATCTCCGACGTCAACTTTGTCTGATTGGCAAAGATAAGGGCTTTATACGCTAGTCCATCCGGCGCGAGGACACCCCCCTCGCCGACGATGGCGTTTGAGGAAGAGAAGCTCGCAGGCCCGAGGTAGTCGTACGTGAAACCCAACTTTTCAAGGTTATCACTGTCATAGACGACCTTGGCGAACGGTGCCGCGTACTGATAGAACGCAAGATCGACCCTCGTGGTACCGATTTGGCTGATAAACTGGTTCCTTGCAACATACGCCATCGCATCCGCCATGAACCCTGCGCCGTTCTCCCCGTTGTGTCGACTCCTCCAAGCCGGCATCCTCGGCCCCCACATGTCCGTAAACGTGTACGAGAAGACGGTATACCCAGGCCACGTCGTCTGTGCGTAGACGCCCGAGTAGGCGTACCCGTGCAAGACGTTCATGCTCAACCCTCCCGCGAGACCGCGGCAGACGGTGCGGAGGAGGTCTTGGATGGTTTGAGTGTAGGATGCGCCGTTGACGGCGCCGGCTTCGGAGGAGATGACGGAGTTGCGAGCCATGTGGGCTGGGCCGGAGAGGTGGCGGTAGAGGGAAGGCGAGTCGTTGAAGCCGAGCGATTCACCTTCGGGTGCATTGACGAGGGGAATTGAGTCGAGCTGGTGGTGTGATGTGAGTTAGCTGAGTTTGGCAGTAATAAGTGTGTAGTTCCGGGTGGAGGTAGACTTACCATGTTTAGTGGCAGGTTGTAAGCTGGCTGATTGGAGTACTCCAGCCCGTTCGTGGGCCCATTCCGACGTTGCGCGAATGTATTTCTCGTATCCGTGTTGGAGAGTGAGGCGATAGTCGTCGTTGCAGCGCGAGACTAGGGTGTTGTTGTCCTGCGAGAGGAAGGATTCGCCGTAGGGGAGGTTCTGCGCTGCCCAGTAGTTTTCGCGCTGGATGAGGAAGGGGAGGCAGGTTGCGATGTCGTATCCTCTTTGTGTGCGAAAGCTGTCGGCGAAGTCGTGCGTCCACCAGAGGGCTGTGTCCATTTCCATGCTGTCTTCCCAGGCTTGAATGTTCAGATGTTAGCAACAGCTTCTGGCTTTTATGGGGTTGAAGTCCACATACCATATTTCCCCACGCGAGCGAGGAGCTTTTTATTTTCCTCTTCAGGGATGATATCCATACATACTCGTCAAAGAAGTCCGTCAACTTCTTCGCCCCCGCGGCGCTGAAGTGGTCTGTGACCCAGGACCCGTTCTGCAATGAGGAACGGAGTGACGATGAAGCTCCTTCCCCAAGGTAGATGGGGGCAAACAACCGGCTCCACACCCCCGCGGCCTCGTCCTCCCACTAGGTGGTTCTGTTGGCTGAGGTATTTGTCTACAAATCTACTTCTTTTTCGATTCATCATCCTGTCGTCCTCCTACACTATCCAGTTTTGATCGTCGGGGAGCCAATGAATCTCAATACAGGGCTGGCCTCGAAGATTTCAGGCACCGCGAGGGTCAATGTGTAGGCTTTAAGTAGAGCGACCGACTTAGCATGCAATTTAAGCTACCAAAAAGCTTCAAGCCTAGGTTCGGAGTGAGAGGGGGACAATGACACGACGCTCGAAGGAGGAGAAACAACGCTCTGACCAGTGGCCAGAAGGAAGATTTCGTGTTCTTCCCTATTCCATATTGGGGGCAAAAGGAAGCAGATATGATTCAGTGCATCAACCGGTGCGGGCGACAGCTACATGGCTCCTCCCAGGATCAACTCGCCCCGTGCGCGTCGCCGGGTGCCGGAAATATGACAGAAGTGAAGCGGACTAGGGCGGCACGGAGTGGAGTGCGGGGAACTCATCCTGACATTTGGCATGGGCGGAGTACGAGCGTATCAGAACGCGGAAGTTACCATCATGAGTTCAACCCATACCTGTCTCCTATTCAAAAACTCTCAGGCATTGGTCGACATCCCTGATGAACTGACGATAGGGTTAAGCCTCTGATTCCGAGTCCATCTACCCATGACAATTGATTGAGGCCGGCCCCGAGGAGTGAGTCGTGGCCTGGGGAAGACAAAGTTTGAACGCGCAAGCAAGCGGGCTACTTGCATCCGATCTTCTAGCCTATATAGATAGATGGCCGCTGTTACCGAACAAACTGTAGGTTGCATTAGCAATCGACGATGATAAGTCCCAGAACATGTTGTTGATCAAGAGATTTTCCGCCCAAACAGCACAGGCTCGTGTGCTGTACCTGTGCTGTCTCAGTTGCGTCGTTGTTTTGGTGTTTTTCTTCAGTTACAGCTTGTTTCCACACCTTCACTTGCGCGCTCTCCACATCGCAGGCAGCCAGTTAAAGACCGCACCCGACTTCCTAGCTCCATTCGTTCCCGAGGGTTTAGGACGACCCGCTGAAGATGACCTGTTGTTTGCCAGACCCGGCGGAGGTTCAAAGTCGAGGCCGAACGGAAAAGGCCAACCGACATACGCCATTATCATGCCTACTTACGTGCGTCTCATGAACCCCCATCATATGGTACGCGCTTGTTCAATGGGTGCTGATCAGTTGTTAAACAGACAAAACACCTACCCTACGTCGTCGACTTCCTCCAGTCTTACATGTGCCTCTGCACCGACCACCAAGAAGTCGATATCCACCTCATCGTGTCCGACTCTAAGGAGGTGAAGGCTTTTCAAGATGCTATTGATGGCCTAAAACGTTGCGGCGAGAGGTTTAGTATATTCCCTACGCCGAGGGTGAATGTCAACGGACCGAAGCCTAAGATTAATATCACAAACTTTTACGATATCGTCCCGAACGCCTTCCGTTCGATGATTAAAGGAAACATTAGCGCCAGCGATACGTCTGCCCTCCTGAATGAGCGCGGGAGATACCAGTATCAGACAATCAAGAAGATGTCAGCGGCGATAGAGCTTGAGTACGACTGGGGTCTATGGCTTGATTCGGAGGCAGTCGTCGTACAGCCGTTTAGCATGCGGGAAGTGTTTGATAGCTACATCAAGACACCGACGGTTTGGAGATCCAAGAACTCGAGGACTGATTTTATGGTCTCCTTGATGACTGGATCGGCTAATGTTCTTGGCCGGGATATCGAGTCTTTTGGCAAGGCTTTGTGGAACTTGGAGAGGTAAGGCTGTAAATTCGTTCCGCGTTGCCCGTCGCTAACCGTGTCTGTCCAGTGTCCAGTGGATGTTGGAGAAAGAAGTAGTTAACGACCTCGTTCAGTCCGTGGAGAAAGCACACAACCAAGACTTTTGGACGGTCTGGGCAACGCGAGGCAGCCCGTTCGAGATCAACCTGTACAACTTACACATCCAAGCAAGGAAGTTAGAGTCCAACGATCCGCTCTTCACCAAGTACCAAGTAGTGGAAACGGAGCGGGAGATGGACAGATTCGGCATGGGTAAGTCACAATTATCCAAACCATACAAGCACAAATCCTCTGAACAATGTGTTTTAACCTAATCAGACGCTGCGAAACCGATCATGGATCAAATAGTACTCACTGGCATATTCGAGACAAGTTACCTACTTCTAAAAGCCACAGAGGCCGTCCCTGGGTTCTCGCGAATGATGCGACATTACGGCCAGCGGCTTTTGCGCTTTGACGACCTCGGTGTCGCGCCACCGGAGGTTATTGACCGGTTTCTGTTGGATACGCCGATAAACATCTTGTGCGTGGGAGGACCGCCGTTACACAACTGGTGGCAAGAGCGAAACAAGACACTTTAGATAGCGATTCACTCTAATGAAAAGCTAAGACCCGTTTACTTCGGACTTCCTGTTCTTCGTGGCTCTCTGCCAGCTCGCGTATTTTCTATTATTGCTACGATTGCAATCGTACAGCCCCGCATTTACTATGTCGTAGATGTGATATTGAGACGGACATGGTCATTCTCCGCATCTAACTAGTAGAAAAGTCTACACTATGCCCAAACCTGTGGCGAAGATCTCGATCCGCGGCAAGCTACTTCAGCGAGTGTCCGATGTTGCCAGCCACGCCAGCTGCACTCTTCTTTTGGGGGTCTCCAGCTCTAGCATATTATACCGAGGATCTCGCCCTCGGCGGTAGTGTGGACAGCCAGTCGAGAATGATGCCGTTATGCAGCATTGGTGGGATGGCTTCTAATTGTCGTGTTCTTCGTTGTTGTTGCCGTTTGTGGTAGTTGGTATTGGTTGTCGTTGTTGTTGCTTGTCGTGGAGAACATTAGATCTGACTGACGCATGAGGGAACCTTTGTGAGAGTACAAGAGGTTTATTTTCACATCAAAGCCGTTTGAAAATCTGGAAATATTCAAGGCATCTAGCTGGCCCTCCATTCAATGCCATTGTCTTATCAAGTTCGTTCAACTCGCAAAAGTCTCTAGCCTCTTCTAGTTCACTCTGAAGAACATCATCTGAACACATGTCTCAGTTTATCAGACACTAGAAACCTCAATTAGCAACTATCAATAAAGAGAAGCATATATTGTACTTACGCTGTAGTAAGGAAGTTGAGTTGTCCATAAGTAAACCCTGCAGCCTCCCTTATTATCTGTGAGACACTGATAGAAGTGAAGTTAGTTAGGTCTTATTACAGTGTCAACATAGGTAAACTTACCTCCCATCCTCCGTTGTTTTTAAACCCAGGCTCCGACCCTGTTCTCCAGACCAAGTGCTGGTTAGACTCGCATGGGCTAGCGGCAGTCTGTCTTGCCTCAACCAGAGGAGCTGCATCTGTGGGGGCAGCACTTCCAGTGACAGCAAGTGAAGTAAGTGCGATAACTGTGTAGAGGAACTGCATTGTTGAGGGTTGAAATGTATGTTGTGTAGATATGTTGTGGTTCGACGCTGGTTGGAGTGATTCAACAAGCAAGGCGGTCGAGTAGGAAGGAACATCACTTTATAGCTATTTCAATTCAGCCTAAGATGCTGAGAAGATTCTAAAAGGTTAGCATGAACACTTATCTCGATATGAATATGGTAAAAGTATAAATAATAGGCTTCATGTCCTAGATCTATAAATACTGGGTAAAGCGCCTGCAAAGCTTTCGCTAAAGGCAGGGATATGTACATAATAAACACATATTGAACTCTGCATCATACGTGAATGTTCTTGCCTATGAAATCTGTTAGTTCATTGCTGGTGGGCGATGGGCCCTAACGGAGTAGCCCGGTGGGATCCTTCCTCCTTTCTAACTAATATGAAAAGTAGCCCGGTGGGATATTCTGATATAAATTAAACACCTGAGTCAGAAGTCCGTCTGATTAAATGTTTTGAGGTTTCATCTGACACGAAGCCTCGTCCGTCCCATCCTCTTCCTCTACACAAAAGGTTCATCTTCTGTCCGCCCGAATTCTCGCACGCGAGTTATTGTCAACTATATCACGAGAGCCTGGCTGGCCAAATGGTTCATTCTCCGCTGTTCGCCGGCCCACACTCCCGGACTATGCACGGCACAGAAGAGTTGTCAGCACCACTAACTACTATCGACGATCCCGAGAACTTGAATTTTGTCCCGCATTACTTCTGCCGTTGATTCCAGGTATGTGCAACAAATTGCTTGAAAAGTTGTGTGCGGAAAAAAACTGCTCGAGTCCCATCGTATCTACCGTAGGCGCTGCGTTCAGCAGTAGTAGCAGCAAACAGTTGGGAAGCTCCTGTCGGAGAATTCCTGGTGGAAAAGCGCCCTCTGATACAATGCCTCTCACTTAATGCGTCCCGTTCGCAAGAATTGTGTGCGATTGTCTGCTAGACTTAACTGCGGCGGCACCAGTAGCACCTCTAAGAGTCGGACAATCTCTCCTGGAGAAACGATAATGCACTACTTTGTGGATCAACAGGTCGTCTCATCAGCCTACCAGGTCATCAATCGCCAGATGAATACAGGCAAATGAGTCATTCGGAAACCCGCGTTGCGAGTGTTGTGACGAGCATGTCGTTTAGCCAGGCTTGGAGAGCAAAAGACAGTCTGATAGGATGGATGCTTGTCATGGGTGCGACTACACAGACACTATTCCTGTAATAGCATTGGAATCAGAAACAGGCCAACTTAGGAAATGTGACTTGTGCGGCGTTGAGATGCGTTTGACTCCTGACACCGTATACATGGAACCGAGTAATAATCAAGATAACGTACATCACGAGCGAGCTGGCTAGCTATGTCTTGTCCACAATCATTCTGCTGCATTTTTCTCACACCATAATAATGACCTTACAGAACAAAGATGCTCAATTGAACTTAGCGGTCTAGGCTATTAAACTCGTACGCTGCTGACATTTTGGACGGGAGGTCTGCTAACAGCCTTTCTAAGCCAAACTCTAGGCTGCAGTCTTCCCGGATTCGCCCCAACAGTTTTGAGTGCGAGATCCAGCCATGGGTAGGTTCCAGAGTCAGTTCTCCGTACGTTCCAGACGCCGCGCGACCCTGTCACGAATCTACACACTCATGGTCGGCAGTTTGTTGACCTTGGCGTTAACATGGTTGATATGAGAGGCGATGAGCTTAAATTGTCACTGTTGATGTGGATATAAGCGGCGATGAGCGGGAGCTTCCTAAAAGTAATCGAAAGATTGGCGTCTAGTCGGCTCGTGATGAGGAATTTCAGCTGCATGGAACATCGGATCTGAGGTGGAGGACAGAATTCGTTCAGGTTACGAAGTATCTCTGCAGTACTTTTGCTATCATACTCATCCACGGCAACGATCTCTCCACCAGACGGAGGCGCACACAAGCAATACCTGCCACAACTGGGAGAATATGTCTCTGAGGGATCTGCCGTAATTTTCAACATTCTTTGATCAGCCTGATCAGCCCACCGAGTCAACTCCAAGCTTCTGTCGGCCACGAGACGGCTGCAGGGAAGAGAGGTGGCACATGACCATGGCTTGGGATTCGAAAATAAGGGAGTAGAGCTCGGCGGCTTTACGGAAAGGATTCTGAAGAATCGTTGACCGAAAACTGTCGAGATTTTGCTTGTAAAAGCTCGAAAACAGCTGCAGATGGCTGATGGAGGTGAAGTCATCGAGCACAGCCTCGTGCTGCGTCGTGCCGGTTCCAAAGAGCCAGGGAATTCCGGCGCAATGCAGTCTTTGGAACAAAGGACTGCGTACCGGAAGCAATATGGACAAGCCCAACCAGGCTAGCGCTGCAAAGGGCTGTGTGCTAAGAGACTTTTTGATGATGTTGTCAGTCCACAGGAGGAACTTGGCCATCTTCTCGGCACGCTTCCGGACTTTGATGTCCTTGCCAAGGAAGAAGAGACGCCATTGATCTTCCTCGCGCTTCTCGACGAGCAGCTGCACGCAGTATCTTTTGGCTTGCCGGGGCAAATGCTGAGGTGCCTTTCGTAGTCTGCAATTAGATACTGCTCTCTTATCGGGAGGATCTTGTACCATCGCCGCCACAGGTTTTTGGACTTGACGTCATTCCCGTTCATCGTTGGGATCTTCCGAGCGGCTGTTCTGGTGACTTGGCCTGTCGTGGGCGTCGGCGGCCGCGATAACTCAATAGTCTAGCTTCGGAGACTCCCGCTTGAGTGTTCCAACGGCGCTCTTAGGTTTGAACAAGAGCCGGCGCCAAAAAGGAAAAAAGGTTCCTCAAATTTCATAGCTATGGGGATAAATATAAAACAGTCGTTCGCAGGAGATATGGCTATAGAAAATCTTTGCCATCATTTTCAATATGTAGTAGCTGAGATTGTCAAGATGTTGCTCTACGCTTACGCAGCCAACGGAAACATCAGTGAGCACGGTCGATATTGTTACCGGTCCGTACGGGTCTCAGTGAGCCTGATAAAAAGGCGTAATGTGACTGCCTTCCAGTGACAGTTAGGTGCTCTAAATATAGCGCGGCGCGAACAGGTGTTTCTATGCGTGCTTTGCCGCATGGTTGAATGCTATCTTAAGACTCATCAAGCCCACTCGATTGAGCTTGATCTTCACATCAAATGGAGCCTTTTGAAGATCTGGAAACATTTCAGGCACCTCATCTTCCATCCCATACCATCGGCTCATCAAATGTGTTCGACTAGCAAACCTGAGCAATTGTAGGACTCGCCTGGCTCAACATTGAAAGCGACCTAGAAATGTAAGGAAAGGCCTATGGAAGACTCAGATCACAATGGGAGAAACCGAAGCTGAACAAAAAAAACAATGTGACAAAGGGCGTCCGTCGAACAACATTAAGTAGTTGGAGATTGCTGTTGACAGACTTAACTGGGACTCTAGACAACGCATTTTGAACTACACAGTAAAACTCAGCCATCTGTCTTCATCCTGGGTGGTGAGAAATCAGCCAGTCTTATAAGAGGTATTTGTGTGTCTTCACAAGAGACAATCTAAGTTGCCTGGAAGCTGACGCTCGATCCTCAGGGTTTCTTTCACCAACACCATGTTGTGTGGATGGTTCCCGCGCCTGCAGACCGTCCGCCATTGATGCCTCACAATTCCACCAACAGCCACTGTCCAGCACATACGACCATACCTTCCAGAAAACACGGGATCCCGTCCGCTCTCCCATAATCAAGCTGGAAAGGGCCGGACTAGTACTCAGGTCGGTGACGACTGGGGAATCCCCGGTGTTGTATGTTCTTTTTATTTTGCACCTACATGTCTTTTGAACTTCTGACTTCCCGGTAAGACCAGTCCAAGTGTGAACAGTCCTCGAAGGCTGAGCTGAGGGTTGTGATTACATGAGTTTGGAGAGCCGGCAAGAGGTGCAAAGACTTACAACACAATAGACAGGAAGTCCAGTCAGTGTACACCCCGCACGAAGTTGTTTACTAGACTAATAAAGCTTTTAGTTTCAATTACCCGACTCCATTTTGCTTCAAACTTTATCAAATGGGAAGTTCTTTCTCGTGTTCTCAAGAGAAAACTCTTCCTAGTAAAGCTTGAAGGTATCAACAGGCACTGACCAACACAGCAATTCCCGCCGGGCTGGCGAGGCCCGCTTTAGAAACTTTCGGTTATTTTTGGACACCCAAGTCCCTCGATGCCGGTAATCCGTTGGTGTTAAGGCTGCCCCTGGTGCGGCTTAGCGCGCTTGAGTCGGACTTTTTCAACGTCGACAGCGTCCGTGATTGGGATCTTCGGCGACCTACCGAGAGCGGTTGTTTGTATTACTCTTTCAAGATTTTCGCGAGATTATGCTGCAGGTTTGATGCAGACATGATCCCATCACAATCCTATCACATTCTGAGGCACAGTGTTGCATTGCGAAAAATCGCTAACCTTGTGGATATGAGAAAGAAAATGTGGTATTGATTACAGTCTTGTGTCACTGAGACAAATTCTAAAAAGATTCACATGAAACTCCTTGACCCAACACCTTACAATCCAACAGCAGAGCGGATGGAGTCGATGAGGATGTTCTTGTAGTCACCGCCAGCCTCCCACATGGCGAAGCCAGCCATGCCGGCGCCGGTGAGGTACTTGCCCTTGGCAGTCAGGGACTCGGTGTTGTCGTAGGAAACCCAGACCTGGGCAGTCTCGTTGTACATGAAGGGGGTCATGCTGCAGTTGTCGAAGCCGGTGGCGATGCCCTGGAGCGGCTTGCCAGCCTCGTCGAGGAACTTGGCCTCGGTGATCAGGCTCCAGAAGGTGTAGGTGCCGGAGGGGGGCGAGGCGTTGCCGCACTCGTCGACGCGCGGGTCGTCGTCCCAGCTGCTGCCCTGGAAGCGGTTGGAGCTGTTCTGGGCGGGGTAGGCGTTCAGCGTGTTGCTGCCGGAGAAGGCGCTGGTGGTGTTGACGGAGAAGCCGTGGCCGTAGGCACCGACGGCGAGGACAAGCTTGTTGGCGGG